GTGAGCACATGCTGTTGGAAAAATGGCACCAATAGACTTGCTCCATGCAGGGTTGCCACAAACCTTCAATTTATAAAAAAACAAAAAAAAAATCACAATATTTGCAAAATACAATAAAGCAAAGTACAATAAAATGAGGTATGCTTGTATACATACATACACATATGTGTATATACATGTGTGTATATATGTGTACATATATACTCATAGCATATATATCATAAAGATTGTATATATTTGTCTACCGACAAAATTTAATTTATGATGACAAAGTTAGATGGAAAAATACTGTGCTTGCTATGATGGATTTTTTAAAAAAACATAAACATTCATTTGAAATCCATTGGTGGGACACAATCCAAAGCAGCCTGTCTTCCTGGTACAGCCAAGTAGTATACCAACTGCAAATGAGCAGCATGATTTACACCTACAGGTTCCCCCACAGGCACATTATCTGTATTTACTTTAATCCCAGAGGGCCTCACTTTCACACTTGGGCAGGCTCCTGGTGCAGCTCTCAGTTCAACTCCCAGAAATTTCAGGAACAAACAGGTCCCACCCACACTTACAATAAAGGTGTCACCATGTTACAGTAATGGCATTCACGATGTTAGGCAAGGGTGTGATGAGGTGTGACTACAAGTTGTCCATTAAAAACGTGGCTGTGGAAAAACCTGTCTAGGGAGACTGCCATTTTGGGGATCTGCCTGGGGAGTAGAAAGGGTAGAGAAGAGAGAAATCACAGCCCATTTGCATTTTCTCATCCCCTCCCCTCTCTTTTTCCAGGGTGACACAGAGCTCAACAGCAGCCCATTGTATGGAAGAAATAATGAAAAAAAGAAAACTGGGCCTATTAAGAAGATGGGTATTATGCAAAGAAAAGGCAGAACAAGATAGGAGCTGAAAAATAAAGATAGCTATGAATAAATGAGCTAAGAGGTTTAAACACCCAGACTTGGCAAGGTCTGTAAGCAAAGTTGCTCCTTTCTGAGACCCTGTATCAATGTAGGTTGTCAGAAACAATGGGCCTATTTTTAAGTGAGATCTTCTTACATGCTCATGTCAAGGACGGAACATGTAATATATTTGTGTGAGCCGGCTATCTTCTTTCTGTAAATAATCTCTCATTTGGACAATTTTGATCCTTAGTCCTAATGAGTTTAAATAAAAGTAATATCAACAAAAAAGTGTGATGGACATTCTTTTGTTTTTCATGGAATAGTTTGATTTCTTTCCTTTTTTTTTTTGCACCCTCTAAATCTAAAAGGAATGTTTAAACAAATATGAAGTCTAATTTTAGAAAAATTTTATGATGTGTAGTTAACACGCAATATTGGTCCACTGTCATCTTAACTCACAAGCTTTGCCTCTATCCGAGATGATTTTAAAAATAATGAAGAGTAGGAAAAACTCTTTGCACCCAATTAGAATACCCAATTTCTAAGCTAAGGGGCTGAGGAATATTCCCCAAGCTGACATAGCCATTCAGTCGACGTGTACTATGTAATCTTACGTGCATTCTTTCAAAAGCACTTATTAAGTGCCTACAAATTGCCAGGCAGAGAAGCAGCACAGAATAGTGAATAGGGAACTGGCCTCAAAGCTAGGAAGACCTGAATTCAAGTCTCCACTTTGACATAGATTGGTTGTATGATCACTGGACAAGTCACTTAATATCTCTTAGTGCCCTAAGCAACTCTCTGAGACTCTAAATTGCAAAGAAAAGTGTTAGATCTGCATTGATGGAGGAAATTTTCCCACCTGGAAGTTCCCTATACCAATGACATCACAGATCCCATCTCTCTCGTCTCTGAAAGAGGCGATAGAAGCAAATGTTTAGTACTAGGCTAGAACTCATCTACTCTGTGAACATTGAAAATGGGGATTTCCCTGTAGACTATTTGGGAAGGGAACTTTTGAACCCCCATTCTCTACTGGGGCCACTTTTGGCTGTGTACATATATGAGTCTATTGCCCTCTAGTGGTTGGGGACCCAGAAAGATATTACTGGGGATAAAGGGAACTAAGGATTTCAAGTCTGTGTCCATGCAAGGAGAAATCTCAGGAAGGCATATTAGTATAATTTGGTAAGTGAAATTGGGCCTTTTATTGGAAAAAAAATTTCCCAAGAGATTTGTAGAAATGTCCTGGGAAAAACAGACTTTGGTGGCACCCAGCCTGACAGGTGTACAAAATTTATCTTCCTCATCAGTAAGAATTAATGTTTACAAATCACATTACACTCATTATCTCATTTAGTTCTCACAACAACCCTGTGAGGTCGGTGCTGTTATTATCCCCATTTAATAGATGGGGAAACTTAAGCAGGGGTTACATGACTTGCACAAAGTCACACAATTTATTAAGTGTCTCAGAATTTGAATACAAATCTTATCAAATCTAAGTCTGGTACTCTATCCACCATGGCTCCTAGCTGTCCCATAAATATACCAAGGACTTATTAACAGAGTAACATGCTAGGTGCTAGGGATGCAAAGACAAAAAAAGGGAAAACAATCCCTGCCCTCAAGGAACTTACATTCTACTGAATTTATTGGGGGAGGGGGGTGTGTGCACCGCATATAAGTAAAGACACTATAAACAGAGAGCGGGGCAATGGTAATTTCAGGAAGAAGACAAGCAAACCATTTTGTAAAGAGGGATCTTTATCAAGTTCTTCACATCTGGCCTCTTTGAATCCCTTATGTACTTCAAGGCTCTAGTGCCAGCTCTTAGACATGAGGTCTTTCCTGATACTTCCCATCAATAGCTATTTCCCTTTTCTACTCCAACATCCTAAGAAATGATTCACTTTGTATACATTTTTTATTTCTCTGGGTACACGTGGTTTGCCTAATAGAATATAAGTTTCTTGAGAGCAGGGATTGTCTCATCTTCGTCTCTAAGCCCAGAACCTAGCTCAGAGCCTGCTTGCTCACTGACTTGCATTGCTTAAATTTCACAATTTTTTCTAAAAGTAAGCTTCATTACAATATATAGTACATAATGTAGGTCTTTGAACTTATTCAGGAAGATGAGGAAAAATGCTACTGACCCACCATTAGTATTGTTTTGTTTTTCTGGGAAACCAAATCAATGGAGAAGGGTTTACATATTGTCTTACCTGCTTCACATTTTAGCTAATGGTGTATAGCAGGATGGTTGGATGAGGTTAGAAGTGAAGACTATAGGTATAGAAAAGAGTGTTGGTAACTGCACAAACCGGGAATCAAGGCCATTGCTTGAGCACCCTGTTCAATTAAGGTAATGGACCAAAGACTGCTATATGTCAGCTCCAGTAAAATACAAGTTCTTTTAGGATTAGGATTGTTTTTGTTTTGTTCTAGCTCAGTGCCTGGCATATAAAATATGGACTGAATCTGTGGTTTCACAAGAATAAAGAATTCCTGGATATGGAAACTCCCTTTGCCGATTTAGGTCATCGTTTTTGCTGCTACTTACAGTCTTAAGAGAGCTGTCTAGAATGCTGAGAAGTTAAATGATTTGCTTAGGATCATTGAACCAGTATGTCTCAGAGATGAGACTTGAACCCAGGGCTTCCTTTTTTATAAGGCTAGCTCTCTATTCTTTATGTCATGTTGCCGCTCTGCTTGGCACATAGTAGGTGCCTTACAAATGTTTGTTGAATGAAAGACTACATAGTAGTGTTAATACTTTTACTGATTGGTCATAATAGTTCGGGGCATATTTCTCAGCCCCCTTGGCTTACAAATGATATTGAATTTGAAGTGTTATGAGATCCACCAGCCTCTCTCCCTTTCCCTAGCACAAAACCTTACTGATTGGTATATAGGAAATCACATTTGTAAATCAAATCAGGCATGGAGGCAGTTTTTTTGCCACTTAGATTTGGGGGAATGTGTGTCAGGAGTGATGAAGGTTATGCTCACGGGGCATATGTGACTATATCCAGTCTTCCTAGGGACAGAATCATTTAGTAATGCAATTCACTATCATCCCGAATGATGAAGGATAAACTTAGAGACCATAAAGAGCAACTGATGTCAAGAGTATTTGCTGTCTGTATTTGTTATCTTTCCCTCAGAGCCTCCTTCCTCAACAGGTCTCTGCCACGATCTTCATTTGTGGACATGAAATTGGTAGGAGGGCCACAAGTGTATTTACATTAGGTACGAAGTAAGCATTTAAATGAGTGTGTCGCCCTAAGTCAGACTTTATCTTCTTCAAACAACATCAAAGTTCTCCACCCCAAGACCAGAAAAATCATGGTAGATAGCCTCCTGTGTGTTTTTAGAATTAAAATTTAAATCATGGATAGCTTGAAAGGGACACCCTTTAAAGTGCTTGGCACATGGGAAGTACTTGATAAATGCTTTTTTTTCTCATTCAATCATTCACCCAACCACCATCTTCAGAGCAGGAAAACCAATGCCACTTTTTACCTCACTGCCACCTATAATATGCCAGCATCTCTCCAAGTACAAAGTTGACATATGGTATTTATGAGAATTTGGTATGCTTTTTATATGCTATATTTGATTCTAAATGTGAATTCAAGGTTTTGGGAGGTAAAAGGACCACCTGAGAAGCATGCATGAATTACTGATGGCTTCCAGACAAAAATACTATTTCAATTCGATTCAGCTGAGCATTTATTAAACACCTACTAAATGCCAAGTACTATGCCTGGAGAAACAAAGTCCAAAAAATGAAGTCATCTCTGCTCTCAAGGAACCATATTCTACTGGGGGAAACAACACTGGCTTGGGGGAGAATACCAAAGCCTTATCTAGGAAGTGGCCGTGAGTTGAGCCTTGAAGAAAACTAATGGATAGAGATGAAGAGACCCCGTCAATGACTGGTCTCATTCCTATTCAGTAAAGAAGCATGTATCTAGTAGTCTCCAAGAGTGTACTTTATTGGAGGCAGCTAGGAGGCGCAGTGGATAGAGCACCAGCCTGGGAGTCAGGAGGACCTGATTTCAAATCTGGCTTCAGACACGTGACACTTACTAGCTGTGTGACCCTGGGCAAGTCACTTAAACCCCGATTGCCTAAAAAAGAAAAAAAAAAGAAAAGGAAAAAAGCGTACTTTATTGGAATTCTCTAAAAACAATAACAAAAACAAATGATGATATTGCAATTCATCTTTACCTTAACCCTTTCCCCTCCCCAATCTGAATCTTTATTATTTCCTTAGACTGAATTTAACATTCATACAACTCTCTCAAAATGTAATTTCAGCAACTGAGTTTCTAAGAAATAACATCAAAGTTCTCCACTAGGAGATGAGAAAATCCCTGATAGACAGCCTCTCAATAACCTGTCATTATAAGAGCTACTATTCATTTCAGACCCAAATTTGCCTCCAACCCACACATTCCTCAGGGTTTCAAGCCCTTTTATCCCTGCAGATCAAGGCATCTGCCAAACTGATTCATGAGTCTGAGGATAGAGAAAATGTTGCTTGTGCCACCAAATGAATATAAAAGAAGGGGAAATAGCCATTTCCCCCATCAGGAAGGACCATTTAATTTGACCTTATCTTTCCCATTGCAAGCATTAATAGAGGGAATTTCCAGAGGGAAATGGGAAACTGCCAATGCACTGAACTGGACAAAATTCTGTCTACATAGAATCTTCTGTTCTGGGCCTCGTCTGGCAATATCCTTATACCCCCAATTATAAGGACTATCATTGCTTATTAACATGTAGTAATCCACTACCCTTGATAGTGAACAGAGGCCCTATCTTGGAGTCAGGGAAACCTGGGTTTAGTCACTTACAGGGTTACTGCCCCAGGCATTTCTCTAAAATGTGCCCACAAGGATGAAAGCGTGGGTCTGGACAAAAACAACATATATTTTGAGGTTTTAATCCCTTTGTTTAAAGATTACAAGACACCTTTATAGATGTCAGTCCATTAATTCTTACCTTTGAGGTAGGTAAGTAGCAAATGCTACTGACTCATTTTGACAGAGATTCTGAGGGATACTGAAGTTAAATAGTTGTGGCACAAATGAAACCACTTAACATAATAATAATTATTATTATTAACAATAAGTTACATTTATAGGTGCCTACTATGTGCCAGGCACTATGTTAAGTGCTTTACAATTATTATTTCATTTGATCCTGGAGGTAGGTGTTATTTCATAATTGAGGAAACTGAAGCAAACAGAGGTTAAATGACTTGTCCAGGGTCACACAGCGAGTGCTTGTCTGAGCTGGATTTGAACTCAGCTCTTCCTGACCAGCGCTCTATCCAATGCAACACCTATAAACGAATGTTTACTTGGAAGATCTAGCAAGAACAAAGTACAAATATTTTCTTTAATATCTTGGCAGCATACTTTCTCCTGCACTTGGGTCTCTGGGGACTTGTAGGCTCAGTTTAACTCAGTTCTCATATAGCATTGGCTCCTCCAAGTTTAAATTCAAACGACACATCTCTGCTGAATAATCTTTCTTTCAGATACTGCTGGGCCAAGGGCCCAAAGGTCACTCTTTGTTTCTTGTGACATCAATTCTTCATTGGCTCTACAACCCAGACTCTGGGATGCCACAGTGACCTCCTGACCTTTTGAACTCTGAAAGTCAGAGGCTCCAATCTACTACACTTTAAAAGGAAAAGAACAAATGCCAGGCCAAAGATAGAGGCCCATTTCTTTGGGCCACATGGCCTCAGGAGGGATAAGGCCCTAAGGCCTTTCTCCTTTTTGTATTGTCTTTTACCAGATGCTGCGAGCAGTGAAAAGGATGGAGGCAAGAGATACATGGTAGAAGCTGGCGAGGGCCTTTTGAGCGCCTCCACAGCCAATAAAAAAGTTTCCCATTTACTACATGGTTAGCATACTGGAACCCATTATAGATTGGAACTCCATTTCTCTCTGGGCTCTGCTCTTGACTCTCTAGACCTCTTTCTCCACTATTTCCCCTTCTCATCCTGGAAGATCATGCCATTCCTGTAGCCCCTTTCTTTGATTGATCAGTTCCTCCTGGAAACTCCATTTTAAGGAAAGTGCCCAGGCCAGCCATGTTCACTCCTTCATTCCTCTCCAGGCTCCGCTTCTGACTGTCTGGACTTCTTTCTCTCCCATACTCCCAAACGGGTACCTTTTCAGCCCACCTTCAGCCTCCTTTTATGTGCTGTCTCCCCCGTATCAGATTGAAAGCTCCTTAAGGACAAGGACTATTTTTCTCTTAGCTTATATGTCTATTTCCATGGCTTAACACAGTGCTAGACATATAGTACTTGCTTAATAAATGTCTGTTGACTTGCCTTGATTATCTATGCTTGCTCCACACTTTTTCCAAAGCACTTCCCTTATACTTCATCATTCAAGATGAAGATGGCTTCCCAGACTTTCCATGTGGGGAATTTGCATTATCCAAGCAAGCTGATGGCATCTGCACATGCACCAGACCCTGGTTACCCCTATATCTAATGCCTCAGTGACAAATGCAAGGCTTTTTCTATGGAAAGACAATACCTAGGAAAAGCCTTTGTTGGTCAAAGGTTACAAACAGCCAGTTCTCAAAAGAATAAATCCAAGCTCTTATCAGCCATATAAAAAATGCTCCAAATCATTAATGATTAGAAAATGCAAAGTGAAGCAATTTAGATGTTCTACCTCATGCTCATTAAATTAGCAAAGTTGACAAAAAGGGAAAAGGACAAATGTTGGAGGGGTTTTGAGAAAACAGGCACACTACTACATTGTTGGTAGAGCTACGAATTGCTCCACCTATTTTGGAAAGCAATTTGGAAATATGCCCCAAAAGTCACTAAACATACCCTTGACTCAGCAATACCATTACTAAACCCATAGTCCAAAGAATGAAAGAAAGAGGGAAAGGATTTTTATACACAAAAATATTTATTTCAGCTATTTTTGTAGTGACAAAGAACTGAGAACAAAAGGAGTGTCTATCAATTGGGGAATAGCTAAACAAATTAAAATGTATCAAAGTAATGGAATACCATCGTGATATGAAGAATTATGAAAGGAATGGTTTCAGAGAAACCTGAGAAGACTTGCATAAACCGATAAAGAGAGAAGTAAGCAGAACCAGGAGAATAATTTATATGATAGCAGCAACATTGTAAAGACAAACAACTCTGAAAGACTTAAGAACTCTGATCAATACAATAACTAAGCACAATTTCAGGAGCTCAGTGATGATGCATTTTACCTTCCTCTTGACAGATGAACTCAAGATGCAGAACATGACATACATTTTCAGACACAGTTCATGTAGGAATTAATTTTATTTGATTATGCTTATTGGTTACAAGAGGTTTGTTTTTCTTTTTTCATTTGGGGGAGAAAGAAATTTGGGAGGAGGAGGGGAGCTAGTGATAATATTGCCGAAAAAAGAAAAGGAAAGGAAAGATGGTCATTGGAGTGTTTTTTAAACTTGCAGAAGAGAATAGAAGGAATTTCAGAAGAGAACACTGACAGGCAGGCTATCTTTGAAAGTAACATGTTGAATTTATTATATACTCAATAACTTACTGCATATTATTATTTGATATATATCATTTATTTCACATATTAGATGCCTTTCCTCTGAGATTATCTCAATTTATCCTGTACATATCTTGTTTATACACAGCTATTTGCATGTTGTTTTCCCTGTTAGACTGTAAACTCCTTGAAGGCAGGAACCATTTTGGTATTCTTTGTGTCCCTGGCACATAGAGTAATGCTGGGCATACAGTAGGCATTTAATAAATACTTGCTGACTTGAATGACAATTTTTAAAAATCATATGACTTCATGTGTAATTATATATATGACAAATGCCTTCATATATATGGCTTTCATATATACTCTTTTTCTCTTCCACTTTGCATAAGGAAATGTTCATTTAATTTTTTGTGTGTTTAAATTCAGAATTTAAAAATTAATTTAAAAAAATTTTAAAGCCTTTGTTTGCTTCTTACCTCCTTCTCCCCTCCCAATATGATTTACCACATTTTATTTGCTAAAGAATGTTCATGCTGGTTATCCACAATCCTTTGGTGTCTATTTGGTATCAATTCATTAAATTAATTAAATTTTTCCACTGCAGATTCTCATTTCCTTACTCCACCCTGTTTCATATTCTCTATCTTGTCTTTTGAGAATGGAAGCTCTTCAAGGGCAGAACAATGTTCATCTAGAGATAGGGCTTCCTATATTGTAGGTATTTAATAAAGGCAATTTGTGAATCAAAATGAGTGGAAAGCTAGAACAAAGAACAAGATATAAATATATTAGAACCTTGGCATAGTGGGTTTGACATTGGACTTGGAGTCAAGAGGACCTAGGTTCAAATCCCTCCTCAGATATTCCGTAGTGTGGTTAGACTCCAAGGTCCCTTCCAGCTTTAAATCTCTGGCCCTCTGAGAACAAGATCTGATGTGTAATTAAAACAAACTGATCCTGACCAATAGGCTAGGATAATTAAACAAATTATTGATAAGAGGCAGCATGGTATAGTGGATAGACAACCATCTTCTGAGTCAGGAAGATCTAATTTCAAGCCCTGCTTCTAAAACATATGGGCTGTGTGACCCTGGCCCAGTCAGTCGGTCAACAATTGATCAACAAATATTTATTAAACATGTACTAGGTGCCATGCACAGGGCATGGAGGTGGGAGATTGAGTGTTATATGTGAGAAACAGAGAGAAGGCTAGTCTAGCTGGATCACAGAGTACGGGAAGAGGAGTGACATCCAATGAGGATGAGAAGAAACGTTAGGGCCAGGGTATATGGGGCTTTAAGAGCTAAACAGCAGAGTTTATATTTGATCCTAGAAGCAACAGAGAGTACTGGAGTTAGTTGAGTAGGGAAGCCATACAGTCAGATAGGTGCTTATGGAAAATTACTTCAGCAGGAATGGGTAAGATGGAATGGAGAGAGGAGAGACTTGATTCAAGGAGACCAATTAGGAGGCTGACACAATAATCTAGGCAAGAGATGGTGAAGGCCAAACTAAGACAGTAGCTGAGTCAGTGGAGATGAGAGATGTTGTTGAAATAGAAATGACAAAATATGTCAACTGATTGGGTCTGTGGGGTGAAGGAGAGTGAGGTAAGGAGTCCAGGATAATGCCAAGGTTATAAGCCTGGGTGACTGGAAGGATGGTGGCTTTTACCAGCAATATTCCACAGTGACCACATCTCTATATCTATATATGTAATACCCCGCCTTCAATTCACACTTGTGGATTTGGTCCTCCAGAAGGACAACTATCCAGGGTTCAAGGCATTCTCTGCACCCCTTATAGCTCATGAACTCCCACCCATGTGTCTACCTTCAATAGTCACTCAGAGGAAAACAATTTGCTGAAAGCAAGGGCATTTACGAAATGGCAGAGTAAGAGCAGTAGCTACAAACCATTTACCCCCAAACCTGGGGTGCACTCTTCCACAAATACACAGAGCTTCAGTAGGACGAGTGGAAGGGGGTACATAAAATATATTAACAGTAGAGAGGAAAACACATAAGGAATGTACATAACCAAGGCAACTCACGCCTCTGGCATTGCAGGGCCCTAATGTCCTTTCTCTTCTCATGGTGTCTTCATGCTTCTCTCTCTGGGTAAAATGAATCAGCCAGGCTGGTCTGTCAACTTGATTCTAAAGCTGGACTCTCTAGTGTGCTCTCTGTTTGGCACATTGTCTCCTAATGGGTATATGATTCTAAAGCAAGAAACCACAGCTGATGGGGGTAGGAGGCAGAATATTGGGAATTCACTCCCCCTTTTCTACTACCCCCCCGACACTGTGGAAGACATACAAGGGAAAAAGTGAAGATTCTCTTTCTTTTTTTTTTTCTATGTTCCTTTTTAAAGAAATTTTTATTTTTAATTTGTGGAATAAAACAAGCATTTCCATGACATAGTACAATAAAAAAAGATGATTGCACATGAAAATGCAAATCTGCTATGCATAACTTGCTATTCCTTTCAAACATACAACAAAATTATCATGTAAATTTCCTTTTTTCTCTCCCCCTACAAGAGACAGTTACCATTAGAAACAAATAGGTATGTATATGTATGTATATATGTATGTATATATGTAAAATTATTCTATACATACTTCTACTTCTCAGTTCTTTCTCTGTTTGCAGGTAGCATCTTTCTTCATATGTTCTTTATAGTTAATTTTGGTATTTATAATAGACAAAATAACTTATTTTCTCAAAGTCACTCTTAAAACAACATTGCTGTTTGTTCTCTTGGTTCTGCTCATTTCACTCTTCATTATTTCATGCAAGTCTTTCCATGTTTTTCTAAAATCATTGAACTCATCATTTCTCATAGCACAGTAGTATTCTATCACAATCACATACAACTTGTTCAGCCACTCCATAATTGATGGGCATCCCTGCAATTTCCAGTTCTTTGCCACCACAAAGAGAACTGCTATAAACATTTTAGAACATACAGGTTCTTTTCCTTTTTCCCTAATCATCTTTGGAAACAGACCAAGTAGTGGTATTGGCATAATTCCAGATTGCTCTCTAAAATGCTTGGATCATTTTAAAATTCCACCAACAGGAGCTGGGTTCTTCCTCCATAGCTAGCTGTCTTTTCAATGGCCAGAGATGACCCTTTTCAGAGCTTGCTCATACATTTTAAGGCCTACCAGGGATGTGACTGGTCTTTCAAGCATCCAATAGCTACTCTGTAATTCTACCCAGTAGATTAAAGGTTTCTTCTTAATTCCTCATAGAATAAAAGTGAAAATACTTTATGTACTTCCTTTACAGTGTCCCATCAAAATCTGAAAGGAGTGAACCATTTGCACTTGGGATATTCCCAATTTCCTACTCTTACACTCCGAGTGTGTGACATGCAGGGTTTCATGCATTTCATAAACTTTGGATGAAGCCATTTAAAGTCTAAATGGGGCAAAACCATAACACCTCATTGTCTCTATTACCTGCTACTTACCTACTGTCATTTCATCAAGTGAGTTGGGGGGACTCAGTTGATCAGAATTCCCCTGATCAATTCCAGATCCACACAATTGACTGAAAGCTGTAGACAATACAAGATTTCACTGTGCTTACTGCTTATTGATTACAAAAAAAAGACTTTAAATCAGGAGAGCAAATTATCCCTTTAATGACTTTCTTCCTACAAGGTATTTCCTATTCATACATCAAAACCATTCTATATTCCTTGGAAGACATAAAAGCAGAGGTAACTTTGTTCAACAACCCTTTGAATATCAATATGACATAAGAAATAAAACAGAGATGTATGCTCACCAAAGGTATTAGTCATTGTTCAGGAGACCCAGCACATAGTTCAAGCTGAAGAAGAACTCCATAGAGATGATGAGGTCTTCTAGATGCTACTGTTTGTTGATGACATTGTTCCAGTTCAAACCCTAGAACACTGCAGAACCCTCTGAAAGAGATTCATAACCACACGTGAGTTTTGTCTAGTAGATGTAGATATTGCCTTGATTATGACATGTAATTGGATGGAAAACCTACTGAGCTCATCCCAAATTCCATCTTGGACAGATAGTTCAAATGGATAGCAAGTTGGATCAAGAATTAAAGAGGAGAAGAAACAGGCTAGATTGGCTTTATAAAAATGCAGTTCTTTTAATGAACCCCAAAGCTCTCCCAGACACAAAACTCCATCTTTTTATGGCAATTTTGAATCTGTATTGTTGTATGGCTGAAATTGTCTAAAGAATTTAAAATGATTATTAGTGAAAAGGGAATAAAGAAACATATACTGGATATGATCAGGCTGCAAAATCTAGCAAAAGGAGAACTTCAAAGAAAAACCAAACTAAAGGATATCACCAGGGAAATGTACAGTCTTCGGGGGGGAGAGGAGGAAGATGGGCTGGTCATGTGGTGAGAGCAAAGGATAATACTTGCATAGACTGGTATCCTCTAACATTAGGAAAAATAAGAAAAGCTAACATTTATATGTTATATATCATATTTATGTACCATATTTAAGGTTTTCAAAGCATTTTACACACTATCTCATTAAGACCTTAAAACAACCCTTTGAAGCAGGTGCTATTATTATCACCCCCATTTTACAGATAAGGACACAACCTGAGAAAGGTTAAGTGAACTTACCTAGTATCACGTAGGTAGTAAATAAATTCTACCTATCTAAGGCAGAATTTAAACACAAGTCTTCTTAACTCCAGTCCATCACTCTAACCTACCAGTCACCTAGCTAACCTGGGTGAAATTGAGAAAGGTTCCCAGCACATTGAGTGGACCAATACCTGTCCGCCCCCACTCCTCCAAGTTATGGGAACATTCGGATAAGTCACTAGGATGGGCAGATATCAACAAGGGAATATCTGCACCAATGAGATCACAGATTGATTTGAGTAATTTCTGCTTTATCCAGCCCCCAAAGCCTAGAGATAAACAACAACACTGCATCTTCTGAGTTCCTGTAACTCTTATGGCATTCCGATGGCACAAGAACCAGATAAAGAAGTCATTAGAAGTGGGAGGAAACATGGAAAATGGCTTCCTATTGCCTCCAGAGTAAACTTCAAGCTCTTGTCTGACATCTAAATCCATCCACAGTCTGTTGCTTCCCTATTTCTAGCCTCAGTAGTATAGTGGAATGTAGTGGTTCTCAAAGTGTGAGCAGCAGACCCCTGGGGGTCCCTAAGAACCTTTCAGGAGGGTCTGCCAGATCAAAATTATTTTTATAATAATACTAAGATGTTTTAATTTGTAACATAGTAAATATATATGTATATATATATACATGTGTGTATATATATATATACAGGATTGTATGTATATATGTATGTGTGCACAGATATACACAAATATATACATATATGCAGATATACACCTATAGGAATATGTGTATATTGTGTGTACATATACACACATACATATACACATATACATGCATGCATACATGTGTGTGTGAAAACCTGGGCTTCTCTGAGAATGTCCACTTCTCCTAACATGGAGATGACCTTTAGAGCATGCCCAGTTTGCCTAACATGGAGGCCTTTGCATCCCTTAGCATGTGGGTAGGGGTAGTCTCCTTTGATTGGCTGCCTATGTCTTTAAAACTGGTGAGATTGAATATTAGCTCTCTTTTCAGGGTCTGCAGAGGGTGAAGATCCCAGCTCACCCATAGCAAACCAGTGAGAGGGAAAAACACTTTCTTTCCCTTTCACCTTCTCTTTTACTGGGCCTGAGAAATAGGCCTGGGGTTGTTTGTTTCTGTTGTTGTTTGTTCTCCTGAGATTCAGCTGAGTCAGGTGATCCACACAGGACCTGGAAGTTCGAGCTTTGGTCACCTTAGAGCCAGGACTGCAGGCACTGACGTTTCACCAGCATAAAAGCCCTAGGGCTCAAGCCAGAGAGGGGTTCTGGACTTAGAACTGGGACTGTGCTGTATAAGACCTGAGCTAAACCATAACTCTAATCCCTTTCTTCTCCCCAGTGACTGAGATGGTAAAAAGGGGTCTAGGGAATAATGCCTCCCATACATTGGGGGAGGAAGTTTATACATTTGTGATTATAGCTTCTCAAGTAATTCTATGTAAAAAATTATTGTCAATGGCTAAATGGAACTGGGATGCTGGGGACTATCTCCTACTATACAGGGAACACCATCAGAGGGGGCTGGAATCATTTGCAGAGAGCCTAGACCCCCCCCACCCCAATCTCCTTAAGGGTATAGGAGAAACTGGGGGAGGAATGAAATATAACCTACCTGGCTTTCAGGCCGTGAGGGCCAGAGTGGTATGTTATCTGTCTCCGTCTCTCCACCCCTCTCTCTCTCCAAACACACACACACACACACACACACACACACACACACACACACACACA